GTAGCTCTCTATCTTCAAAACCTACAAACCTTGAAGGTTTGAGGTCTGCTCTTTTTTAGAGCCCTCATGAAATAAAAAATTATTACCTATGCGATTTTAAGTGTTTGATATTCTTTAATAATATATATATATATATATATATATATATATATATATATATATATATATACAGTGATCTCATCTCACAATGCTCACACCTGCTCCATATGTGACCTCCTTTGTAAATCACTAGCGGGTCTTAAATGCCACTTAAAATTATCGCCTAAAATTTCATAACTGAATCAATAAGCCAACAGGAGAGTCCATTATATATATATTTATATATATAAATATATATATATATACACACACACACACACACACACACATACGCACATACACACACACACACACACATATATATATATATATATATATATATATATATATATATATATATATATATATATATATAAAATATAAACCTTCAGGTTTTTACTTCACACGTAAAATTAACTAATTTTCAGATGAACACAACAGTTTTGTCTTGGGAAAATGATGAACACAAAATTGTTGGACGCAATAAGCGTGGCATAATGTTTAGCAAGCGGGTCCAGCTAGATCAATTACAACTGAATAGTGAGTTTGTTCCCCAGTGGTTGCCGCGTACTTCCGGCCTTGAGTCACATCTGAACTACGCTTAAAAAAATCACCATGAAGTGAAGAACTGTCTCTCGCAACATGGTTCTATAGAAGAAAGCAAACGAGTTGCCCAGGACTTCTCTTCATGAGCGAGAATATTTTCCATTTTAAGTGTATTTCTATTCGCTGCCATATTTATTCCAAAGAAGTTCAAAGCTTTGTTTCTAACGAAATTTTCCTGTTTCTTAATACTTTGTTCAACTTTTGGAATGCATCTTTAGCTGCTTTTAATTAAGAGTTACAGCATTTCTTTGATCTGCTGTATAACGTGACGAAGTAATATTAAAGAGATAAAAAAAAGAGAGAAAAGACAAAATACGGCTTTAGTTAAAGAAGTTAAAAGGTAAACTATATATATTTTTTTATTTAACGATTTTAATAGTAGTTTTACTTATATTGTGTTGATTCGTTTTGTGTTGTTTATCACTTTGTACGCACAAAAAACTATGTTAAATACGTTGGTATTTATTATTGGCCAGGTGCATGCAAATATTGGCTCATTTTCATCACTTTCAGACATGATAACTTTGGCACTACATCTAAAGAAATTGTCACTGTAATAAAGAGTTCAAAGTGAAAATATTCATCGTCTGAAGCATTTTGAAAATATTATTCTAACTTGTCGCCAAAGATGTCTGGGTTTATGAGGATTAGAGAGATTTTAAACTCTAGTATTTTCAAAACAAATTTGTCTTATTCTTTATTTTGTGTGTGTGGTGGGGAACGAGGACTGTCGTTATGTGAGAAAGAAATAGAAGATGTCTCTCTCTTCTGTCATATGAGAAATAACAATCTTCACCGACAGAACCAATGTCAACTCGAAAGATATTAATTTTGCTGATTTTATCGCATGAAGGTCTTAAAAGATTGACTTGTTGCATAGAACCAAAGGCTGTTATTTATTTATTTATTTTATTTTATTTATTTATTTATTTTTTTTTTTTGGTGGGGGGCTTATTTGAGGTTAAACTCTGCAAGGATACGCAGGTTAAAAAAAATAACAAAAACTAACAAATGCTTATATTTAAAATACTTCCCACATCGCTATAATACCTATACCTGAACGCTGTGCTTCTTATTCTGTTACTCTCTGCCTCGAGTGGCTGTTGGGCCTTGTACAGAACGAACATCATGGTAAAAAAAGAAAAAAAGTTCAGAACTATAAAATCACTTACTGGCTTGGTTTTATAGTTCAAACGAATCTAAATCACCTTATTTCTTTGATATGCAAGTCTTCCGTGCAAATTCTTATATAATAACCTGTAAAGGAAATTTTAGAAGGCAACATGACTACCAGTGACATGATTATTGCATTGCCGTGTTACAAATAAAATACTGTTTTGTTTTTTTTTTTAAGTTATACATTTAACTGTAACCAGGATCCAGGTTTTTTTTTTACAAATACTGTACCTTTATGTATTGTAACATTTTAATCAAAACATGGCATTTTTGGCAGAGATTGATAGCTTAACGAATTTTCCTTTTCATACTCACAGTGATGTCATCAAGGATGTACCTTCATCCTCCAGTTTCTCACACCTGATGGAGAAGTAGTGTTTAGTGTTGCATTTATATATTTTTTGTAAGTAGTGATCATGTTTTTTGTACACGTACAGAAAGTATAAAACACTATTTTTACGTGAAATCTTAATTTTACCACTTAAAAATCCGAGTGAGCATGACTAGTATCATTACTTTTATTTGTATGTACACAAAATTTATTAAATTTTATATAAAACTACTTTCAGGCTATATGTTATTTATATAAAACTACATTCAGGTTATTTTTATAAACTGTGTTATGAAATGTAAAGGAATATCGTTTTTATGCTTGCGTTCCTTTCCCAAGCTGGTCCATTTTATAGATGTTATATACAAATTAAATAGCCTGTATTCCAAAAGTTCGAAAAAAATTGAAAACAGTAATATTTCCGGTTTCAAGAATTTCAGATAAAGGATTCTCAACCTGTACTTCAGTTTTCATGTAGTTTTTCGCTTAAATTGCATATTTATTATGGTGTTGTATACATAAAGGGGGGGTAATTTAATTTCTTCAATGTCTTCAGTCGATTCTTCTTTAATTTTTCGTATTCTCTCTTCATTTAGATCCGCGAAAACCAGATTTTTCAAATATTTCCTTGCTTGTCAATCCACTTTTCTTATAATAATAACTAGCAGTAGAGCCCGGCGTTGCCCGGGGATATAACAGTAAGAGATAGATCAAGTATCCACCATCATAAAGACTGAAAAATAAAATTGACAAAGATTATTGTTTAAGGTTGACGGACAGGCATGTCTTAATTAGTTTTTTTTTTTTTTTTTTTACGAATTGGTCAAACTCAAACAAAAACATTGTTTTCAATCGTCATGAGTCTCCCGATTGAATAGAATTTTATTATAAATAATTGTCTTGTAAATGGAATTTTTAAAGCATTCTGAAAGTTAAAAATAAAGAAAAAAAGTGTGCAAGAGAATAAGAAACACTACCTGCCAAAAAAAAAAAAAAAAAAAAAAAGTGAAGTTTTGTTTTATCGGCTGAAAAATATAGGAAATCCGCTCCCATATTTAAAGGAACCCACACACAAAAACAACCCGATGTGAGTTGTCCCCTTCCATTTACACGATGTCTTTAATCGTGTTTTCAAATTGATTTTGTGCAAAAACAATTATATTTTTCCCATTTTGGCGCTGTTAGAACCACCACAAGGTAATTTTATGTAGTCCTGTAGAGTTTTGTTGAAATCGGTTGAAAAATGTAGAAAATCCGATCCAATATATAAACGTTACAGACAGACACACACACACACACACACACAAACACACACACACACACACACAATCTGCGTTTTATAATAAGTAAGATTATTATTTCAATTTTTCTCAGATCTTTCCTGATAATAATTTTTTCCAATTTTTCTTGGATAATTAAAATTTAATAATAATAATAATAATAATAATTATTATTATTATTATTATTATTATTATTATTATTAAAGATCGTAAAATCACTACAAAAATACTAAGGACCTTGAAATCGAAATCTCAAAAATGTAGCACATGAGAACATCAACAATGCGTGTTGTAGTTGGAGCCCTCGGAACGATTGGAAAAGACTTAAATACGCTAGTTGAAGGGATTCATGGTGGCCCATGCTTTTAAAAATACAAAAAATTCTTCCTACATGTACAGCCGACATGCTACGCAGTGCTTTATCTAAAATATGTGATTTTTTTCAATGTTGCTCAGTGCAAAATGTCATGATGCCATTTCTGACCTTAGGTCTCTGGTCGGGACCCGGAATGAAATAAGGATACACCAGAAACCAAAGGAAATAACAATAATAACTAGTAATACCCGTCAAAATTTCGAGGTTTTACTATTTTCAGTTTCTAATGAATCCTAATTCTTAAGTCAATAATTGAATAAGGTCCTTGAGAGGTTCCCTGCTATAATATACTTGTAAATTTCCAACATTAAATATTTGAGCTTGACAACTTTGACAAAATATTCCAGTAACAATTATGTGTATGAATACAGGTGATTATCTAAAGACGTAAGAGTGTACAAATGAAAAGGTTCGAAACTGACAAATGTTTCCATTTCACTGAAGCAGATATCAAGTACATGTGAGTGTTATCGCTTACACTATCTCTCCTTTCATTTTTTCGTTTTCACACTGAAACCAAACAGCGTCTCTGACATTTTTATTTCGTCTTTCCTCGCGATCAAAACGGAATAGTTCGTTATTTACGATGTATTGTCAGGGTGTAATGTACGCTCTTAGGAACAATATATTCACTTTCGCACAAATAGCCTAGGGAAAGGTATGAATCCAGCCTTTCTCTTCCGGTTATAAGTTAATTAGTAAGATTGGTATCACTAGATTTTTATTATCAATAATAAAAGCAATGTAAAAATATTTTCTGTTATTAATAACATGCAAAGAGTTGATAATCCGTAAAAAAAACAAATCAATCAGTCAATAACTAAGAAAAAAAGAGAATTATACTACTACTACTATTACTAAGAAGAAGAAGAAGACGAAAAATGTGACGATGAAAAGAAGAGGAAGAAGATGAGGAGGAAGAAGAAGAAAGAAGAAGAAGAGGAAAAAGAAGAGGAAGAAGGACATAATGAAGAAGAAGAAGAAGAAAAGAGGAAGAAGGAGATGAAGAAGAAGAAGAAAAAAAAGAAGAAGAAGAATATCTGACACAGTTTATCCGCGTCTTTCATTTTTTGGACTCACACACACACACACACACACACACACACACACACACACGCTCGAAATAATCATGCCGACGAATTGTTTCAGCATA